GTACAGTTTACTCGGAGCTACTGGGTTCGTCCTAGGCGGATTTCCTGCATGCATAACATAATACTACATTGTCACGAACTTGTGTTGAATTGGCCTCTTTGCAGCTGTACGTGATCGTGCCAGTGTTATAGTAACTTTGTATACTGGGTTTGTGATTGGTAGACGTTCGTTTCATGGTTGTTTAGATTTATATATAAATCTAACCCCACGGAACAACCACATCATACATTTCATGTATCTCGCGAGAACACGCAACTTAATGCAGGAGGAGGAGGAGGAGGAGAAGAAGAAGAAGAAGAACACAGAACTACATGGCTAGCCTTTCCTTTGATGCTATTCTTCTAATAGTACCTTTCATCGCCAAGGACCACCCTCAAGATATGCCCGGAGTCATAGGGTTGGCGGTAAGGTGACTATTATCCAAAGCCCCCCTTCAAATCAACATTAACACTTAAAAGGTATTACGATATAATAAGCAGCCCACCATACCAGGTCTCATTAAACAATCATCGCTTTGTTTCATTTGCCAGGAGCTCGAGCTAATAACATGTAGATCCATGATCTCGGAGGTGGATTCAAAAGCATGTGGAAGGTGAGCCAGTGCAACCGGGCGTGTAACTGATGACAGATACAGCTTCATTCGATGACATTCGATGGAAGAGGACGAATGGATTCTCTCCTCCAATAATCGGTCAATGTGGATAGGCATGGCATTTCATAATGCCAACGTAAAGACCAACTCCATATCTCCCCTAATGTGCATTTGTCAGCGTACCGCAGCTATGCGGCAAACCACCCGATTCCATGATATTCATCTGATCTGAGTGGATGCTGAATATCCACTGCGGAACGACCGTAACCTATCCGGAAATTGTGTGATCCTAGGTATTTAAAGAGGTATATACCTCACGCTTCCCCGGCAACATTGCTACAAACTACTACTCTTATTTCTTTTAATACACAGCAACAATTGTTCCCATTCATCAGTAGAGTATCTAGTGAAGATGTCTCTTAAGCCTCTTGTCCTCCACGGCCATTCCGCCGGCCCTAACCCTTGGAAGGTGGCCATGCTCCTCAATGAACTCAATGTTCCTTACGAATACAAGTATCTTCAATTCGCAGAAATCAAGAGTGACCCCTTCTTCAAGATCAACCCTAACGGCCGTGTTCCCGCCATCGAGGATCCCAACACAGGAATCACCCTGTGGGAGTCGGGTGCTATCCTCGAATACCTGGTTGAAACCTACGACAAAGAGAAGAAGTTCAGTTTCGAAGCCGGTACTCCTGAGTACTTCCATGCCAAGCAATGGCTCCACTTCCAGATGTCGGGTCAGGGTCCCTACTTCGGCCAGGCAGTGTGGTTCACCAGATACCACCCCGAGAAGGTCGAAAGTGCCCGGCTGCGCTACATCAACGAAATCCGTCGTGTGTCGGAAACGATGAACAACGTTCTTGCGGACCGTGAGTATTTGGTGGGCGACAAGTACAGCTATGCCGACCTCTCCTTCGTTCCCTGGTTCGGCATCATTCCCTGGATCACCGGAGATGCATTTGATCTGGAAAAGGACTTCCCTCATCTCAATGCCTGGCTGGAGAGAATCAAGGCTAGACCCGCCATTGCCAAAGCGTTGGCAGAGAAGGCTGAGGCAACCTCGAAAATGACGCAGCCTTGAAGGGAGCGACGTGGTTGAAAGAGCTAGCCGGTCCTTGCTCAGCGAAGATAGCATATGAAGCCTGTATTTAGAATTGCATTATAATTTTAATAAATCGATAATATCGATGATGCTATGGTTCACGATCGAGACTTTAGGGTAAATTATATGATGAGTCCGGTGGACCATCCTTGCGGAGGAAAAAGTAACTCAAAGACTATACTGGTGTGATACGGAGCTTTGGCCGTTAGGTAGTTACATGAAGTAAGGCAATCGGTCAAAGTAATTGTCGAGTTTTAGATATTACATACTCGGAGTAGTAGTAGGAAGTAGTAGGAAGCAGAGCACACGGAGTACTGGCAAAAGACTGGAGAGAGAACTCCTATTCCCAAAGTGGCTAGCGTGTCTGAGTCTCTTGGCGCGAACTTTTGGAGCGACGGCCGTGTCGCGACAGTTGCACCGCTACTAAGCCATCCTCCTCATCGTCACCTCATTGCTTCTCCGCTTGGTGTCACTTCCGTTATTTATCCCGGAGGCTCAGCTTGCCACACTTTATTGATAAACCAGTTGATTAAGGGTTGCATCCGCACCCTGTCACTCGCCTCCATTGGCCTTCTAAGCAGAGACCCTTGCTCCGCTGCCTGCGACCTCCGTATCCTGCTTTGACCACCATTCCATCAACATGGAAGAGAGTAACGTCGTTTCTAGTGGCGCTGTCGATGACATTCACTCCGCGACTGCCACCCAAGATGCTCCAGGTGAAGTGATCAACCCTTCCGGTGGGTTTTCCCTCCCTCCCCTAATAGAATGCGGAGTTTATCAGCGTTCGCAACCTTATGCTCCGAATCGCAATCACGTCAAGAGTCTTAAGAAAATGGGAAACTGAATGTTTCAGGGACTGATAATCCTTTAGACGCTCCGGCCTCACCCAAAGCTCAAAACATCGAAGGCGAACCTGAGGACGAGGAGATGGGCGGCACAGAGACTGAACCAAAGAAAGAAAGCGAGGGCGCCGAAGAAAATGCCGACGGTGTTGCGCAGTCAGGTGCTGAAGGTGCTACAGAAGATCAGTCTGGACAAGGCAAGTCGTCGATCGAATCTTCGGCGCGCTCACAACTTGTTTCGCAAACACATGCCATTATCCTTCCCAGTTACTCCACGTGGTTCGACATGCACACCGTTCATCCGATCGAGAAAAAGGCTCTCGCAGAGTTTTTCAATGGCAGGAACCGAAGCAAGACGCCCGCAGTCTATAAAGATTATCGCGATTTCATGATCAACACCTACAGACTCAACCCTATCGAGTATCTCACAGTAACCGCATGCCGCCGTAATCTTGCTGGAGATGTGTGCGCGATCATGCGTGTTCACTCGTTCCTAGAGCAGTGGGGTTTGATTAACTATCAAGTGAGTAATCGTCGACCTTGAGCTATACCTAGTTGCTAACGCCTTTTAAGGTTGATCCCCAAACCCGTCCGTCAAATATTGGTCCTCCCTTCACGGGTCACTTCCGAGTGATTGCTGATACCCCACGTGGCCTTCAACCCTTCCAACCTGGGCCAAACCATTTTGTCAAGCCTGGAAAGCCTCTACCGGCCACTGAACGTGCAGCTTCAGCTGCGCCAGTGTCAAAGGCTGATCTTAACCTCGAAATTCGTCGCAACGTTTATGACGATAAAGGCAAGGAGATCACCCCTGCTGTTGAGGACAAGGAGAAGCAGACAAATGGCGACGGCTCCACCAACGGTGCGACGGGCGACGCGGTGAAGGCGATGGAAACTGCTTCCAAGGAACCCAGAAAGAAGTTCCACTGCTTCTCATGCGGCATAGATTGTACCAGACTCAGATTTCATTATGCGAAGTCGACCCCAGCCACCGCTAACGCATCTGCCCCGGATTCAAAGTATGACCTTTGCCCTAACTGCTTCTTGCAAGGCCGCATGCCTTCCAGCCATAGCGCCTCCGATTTCGTTAAACTCGAAGACAGCGCGTATTCAGTAATTCCGGACAAGGATGCTCCTTGGTCTGACTCCGAGCTTGTACTGCTCCTCGAAGGACTGGAGAATTTTGATGAGAACTGGGAGCAGATTGCCAACCATGTTGGCACTAGGACAAAGGAAGAATGTGTCATGAAGTTCCTGCAACTGGAGATTGAGGACAAATATGTTGAGGACTTGCCTGATATGCGCACCGCCGGTGGACGAGAGCCCATCAGTCAGGCTGAGAACCCCGTTCTGTCCGTAGTTGCCTTTTTGGCACAGATGGCAGAGCCTGCCGTGGCCGCTGCTGCGGCGGGTCGCTCCGTGGATGAGATCCGTAAGGAGCTTCGAAAGCAGCTCGAGAAGGGTTCCGCCAAGAGTCAAGAGAAGGGCAAGGAAAAAGAGGGTTCTGGAGTGAAGACGGAGGATTCCATGGATGTGGATGCCTCTACCACCGAGGTCGTAGAAACTTCTAGCTCGGATAAGCAGTCCAAGGCTTCTCTGCCCACAGTCGCACTCGCCACCTCAGCAGCTCGTGCCGGCGCTCTTGCGTCTCACGAGGAGCGGGAGATGACCCGCTTAGTCTCTGCTGCCGTCAATGTCACTCTGCAGAAGTTTGAGATCAAGCTGCAGCAGTTCAACGAGATGGAAGAGATCATTGAAGCCGAACGCCGGGAACTTGAACTGGCTCGTCAGCAGCTGTTCCTGGATCGGATGGCCTTCAAGAAGCGTGTAAAGGAGGTCCAGGATACCCTGCAAGCGGTTAGTCTGAAGGGACCCGGTGAGGATGCAAACAACATGCTTGGTGAGGCCGCGACGGCAGGAATTGGAAACCGTTTCAACTTCCAGCCTGCAGGCAGTGATGCACGGGCTGGCGTACAGCCTTTGAGTGCGGAGGCAGGTGCTGACTACAAGACCCTGGACCTGTAATGGGCGGAAGCTTCCTTCAATGGCATGCGTAAATGGAAAACCATTTTTGAAAAAAAAAATATGAAATACATTTCTTACGATGCAACAGGGACGTTCGCAGGTTAACATTTATAATATCCATGTATTGTACCATAAATATTCTAGGGCCGAAGGACCAGATACCAGGACAAAAGATTGGAGGTGCACCTCACAGAGGCTGTTTGGGTGATTGATTGATGGATGAATGATTGGGGTTTGGGTTTACTATTGACTTGCTGCTCAACTCGGAAAAGGCGCAACTATATTGGAGTTAAGAGTATTTCTCGCGTTCATCTATTTCAACCTTATTATTCAGTTCAAGGTGGAATGAAATCGTTAAAATTGTTATGTCTTGTGCCAAATGCCTAGTGACCAACATGTTTATGTGGTATCATACAAAATATCATACAAAAAGCTAGATATCGAAAAATGGGCCATAGTATATAGCAAAATTAGATGGACGGATATCCAATCAATCGCTGGGCCAATCAGCCGGACTCATCGGCTGTGAATATAGAGGCATGCCGTCCCTTTCGTCCTGCTCTGAGGACGGATATTCCCTGGGTGCAGGAAGGTCGTCGTCTGAGTCAGAAGAGGAGCTTTCTTCTTGTTTGGGCTCGACTTGTATGCGCTTCCGACGGGTTAGTATAGGTGATCGGTATCCGGGGTTTGTGTTGGCGGGTGGGGATGGGCCTGATTCGTCCGCTCCTTTTCGGTTTGAGTTAAGTTCGGTTGTTTGTTTGTGTCGGGTATTGTGAATTTCAGGATCTTCTTGATCTTGAAGGATAGTGGTGTTTAGGTCTGGGGCGGCTGAATCGTCCATTTCTATGTCTTCGTGGTCGTCTTCATTCGGGTTGATGTCCTCGTCATATTCACCAGCGGTTGGTTCAACTTCGAGCTTATCTGTTTGATTGTTTTCACCATCAACTGTGACAGGTAAAGGATCCCGTGAATTGTCAAGACGCCTTCGCTTTCGTCGCTTCTCGGATATCTCTTCATAGATATCATAAACTTCGTGACCATGCTCCTCCCAATCGCTTCGGTATAGTGTCCTTTCACGCCAATCTGCAAGCTCTTGCTGTGTTTTGCGCTCTCCTATCGGTTTGCGTATTTTATTTCCCTGATCTTCTTTCTTGATGGGTCCGGAAAAATCTGGCACTGGCCGGTCCAAAGCTTTCCAAAGTTCTAGCTCTCCAAGATAACTGGCCTTTTGGTCTTCTTGCTCGGCGTGTTGATTTTCAGAATCCGATGGGAGTTCATCTTCATCGCTGGAGACTTCTGGTGATAAGGGTGCAGTTGGGGACGGGGAGCGTTCGAGCTTGAACTCGCTTCCACTGTTACTCAGATTATCCTCATCGCTGTCTGTGTGTTCGCCGTCTGTGTTCTGCAACCTGCTTTCTGACCTTTGTCTGGATGTGCTCCGATTCGACTCTGCATCGATGGGTGCCCTATTTAACAGCATATCTTCCACCTCATCGTGGCTCAGGCGAACGGACTTCCATCCTTTTCTATGTCGAGAATCCGAAACATCCAAACAGCACCGCCTTGCTACGCCAGTCCAGTAGTCAAACCCGTCTCGTTTCATTTTAAGCACGTCCAGCGCGGTCCTAACGTCTCGCGGCTTGACTACCTTGGCCTTACTATTACCCGTATCTCTCATGTTGCGCAGTCTTGACATGGCGAAAAACAGGGTCGACTGAATCAAACGACGTGTCACGCTTACGGTGAGAGTATAGAACTCAGCTAATGCATCGGCAGTTATTGCTGGTGCTTCGCCCGCGTAAGCTATGTTCACCCAATTATCTTCTAGTCTTGCGCCCCCGAAGTTCATGAACAAGCGCTCGGAAAGCCGGATCCATCTTGGGATGTTGAGTAGACTGGCCGTGTGGTAGACACTTGAGCCGGCTGGGGATTTTTGATCCAGCGTCTCTAGTTCTTCTACTAGTTCTGCTTTGTCTCGATCAATTATCCACAAATCGTGATGCCTCTGTCTTCCGGCAACATCCTCATCTTGCTGCTCTTTGAGTACCAGCAACTTAGAGTACTCATCAAGGACGTCGCAGCATTCGCTACTTACTTCCTCCGCCGCCGGCAAATCGCCTAGGACGACTGCTCTGCTGTGCTCATCCTCCATGTGCTGCCATTCTAGTCTCCGTTGCAAGAGTCTGAGATATTCCTGGACCTCCAGCTCTGATTTCGTACCAATCGCACCAGCTATATCGCGGATACCATCTTTCCCTTTTCTGTCAAGGACGTTGAAGAATATTTCCTTCTCTTTCGGCGCCCAAGACACGATCCCAGCTTGGGTGGATTGGTAATTTCCGCTGCCAGCCTTCGATTCGACGGACGTATAGTCGTCTATTGTTTGCGCGAGTAGGTTGGAGTATGCTTGCACTGATTCCTTGCTAAGCGATGTCTGTAAACGCTCTAACATCTGCATCCGAGAGACCCTTCTGGGCGTCTGCGCCGGTCTGGATGAGGACCTTCCATCGAGCTGGCGAGGAGAAGACAATCTGGTTCTGCGACTCGGAGGAGACGAGGGGGGATCGGTGAACTGCGTATTTCCCGTCTCGATATCAGAATCAGATGTTTCATCATCTTCCTCTGGCTCGTAAAGGCTTGAACTGCTCATTGTCGGGTTGGAGGTCCAGAGGGGCACACCATTGACATGGACTCTGGAAAAATGGCGGAAACATGCCCGGCATCGACCGACTAATTAAACATCGTATAAGGCAGGAGTCAAGAACCTCTAGAAATAGTAGCGAAAAGAATGCGACACTTCGAGGGGATCCGTAGAAATATTTCTATCAGATAAGAAGGGTGTTTGCACTGTTTGCTTCTCCGCCGAACTTATCGGCACGGCTGCAGGTCAGCTACGTAACGATCAACTTAAGTCACATGGAGCCTGGATGGAGTGTATTCGGGGAAAATTGGGGTGGATTCCCATTTCGCGTCTCTTATTGAGACCTCAGAGTCCTTATTGGAGGACTGGTCGTTTTCAACCTCACTTGCGCCTCATCTCTACCGCTGTCCCTGCGGCGCGCGAGTCGCCCGCTATAGTCCTTCGGGACTACCAGGAAGAATGTATCAAATCGGTGCTTGATAATTTGGACCAGGGCCATAAGCGCCTCGGAGTTTCACTTGCGACGGGTGCTGGGAAAACGGTTTGTATGAGCTTACACAGTATTGAGAGCCGGATTCTGCTAACGATATCTTTCACCAGGTGATCTTCACACAGCTCATCGGCCGCATACCCCCTCGAAATGAAACAGACAACAAAACCTTGATTCTCGTTCATCGGCGCGAACTTGTCGAACAGGCCGCTCGGCATTGTCGTCTTGCTTACCCCGATCGAACGGTCGAGATCGAAATGGGCACCAGCAAAGCCTCACCAGCAGCAGACATCGTCATCGCATCTATTCGGAGTTTGACAAATGGAGACCGCATAGCCAAATTCGACCCGAAACAGTTCAAACTCGTTCTTGTGGACGAAGCCCACCACATAGTCGCGCCGTCATACCGAGAAGTGCTCAAATACTTCGGACTGAACGAGACGTCAGACGACTCGCCGGTGCTAGTCGGCGTGTCGGCGACGCTATCGCGAGCCGATGGCTTGAAACTAGGCGCGGCAATCGACCACATTGTTTACCATAAAGATTACATGGACATGATTGACGAGGAATGGCTAGCAAACGCAGTCTTCACCACCGTTCAATCCGAAGCCAACCTATCCCGCGTGAAGAAGGACAGTTTCGGTGACTTCGCCGTCGGCTCACTCTCAAAAGCAGTGAACACCGACAGAACGAACGACATCACAGTGCGTGCCTGGCTGGCAAACGCCCAAGAGCGCAAATCAACCTTAGTATTCTGCGTCGATGTTGAACACACAAAGCAGCTCACTGAGACCTTTCGCGCTGCCGGCGTCGACGCCCGCTATCTCACCGGCAAGACACCAAAGGAAGTCCGCGACGACCAACTTCAACGCTTCAGGAACCAGGAATACCCCGTTCTTCTAAACTGCGGTCTCTTCACCGAAGGCACCGACATCCCCAACATCGACTGCGTTTTACTCGCGCGACCAACCCGCTCCCGCAATCTTCTCATCCAAATGATAGGCCGCGGACTACGCCTCCACCCAGGCAAGAAGGACTGCCACATCATCGACATGGTCGCCACCCTGGAAACCGGCGTCCTCTCCACACCCACCCTCTTCGGCCTCCACCCAGATGAAGTTCTAGCCAACGCCAACGGCAAAGCACTCAAACACAAAGAAAGCGACCCACCCGCACCCACAGAGCTAGACGACTCCCCAGGTCCAGACACACCAGATGATATAAACCTAACCTTTACTAAATACGACACAATCTACGATCTAATCATGGACATGAAATCCGAAAAGTACATCCGCTCATCAAGCCGCAATGCCTGGGTCCGCATCGACGAAAACAAATACCTTCTCTCCGACGCAACCGGCTGGATCACAATCGAGAAATCAACCGATAAACACTTTATATCACCAAACAATAACCCCCAACAACCGACCTGGACAGTTCACCACGTCAAAGTATACAAAAACCCCACCACAGAGAAAAACACCTACACCCGGCCCCGATTAATAGCTACAGGCCCGGACCTCGAATCCGCCGTCCACGCAGCTGACACCTTCGCCGCGTCGGAGTTTGAAGAACTGTATATCTCCGCTCTACAACCCTGGCGACGTCGACCTGCCACCTGGGCGCAGTTGAACTTCCTCAATAAGGCTAAGATACGGAGGGATGCACTCCGGCCGGAGCATTTAACCAAGGGCCAGGCGACGGATTTGATAACGAAGTTGAAGCACGGGGGAAAGAAGAGGTTCGAGAAGCAGGCTGGTCGGAGACGGAAAGAGGATGAGAGAGCTAAAGAATTAGAGGCATTTAGAGCTAGGGAGAGAGTGCGGGTTGGGCCTGTTTTGATATGATTATCATTGTTATTCTAGGGTCGTTAGACTCTCGGGTCAAATGTACAGTATTATAGCATGTATTATACTATGGGAATGTACGGTCTATGACTGCGATTTACAAGATTCTGGTAGATGGTATGGGCGATATAAAAATTACTAGTTAGAACCTTGGTTATGCAGTGAGTTGGAAAGCAATAACCGAAAGAGTGTGAATGTTGATTTACTCAATTAGTGTATGGATAGAAGAATTGAAGCATGTCATCATCATAAACGAGGTAATTATGTATACTATATTCTAGACACCTTTGATCTATATCCAGATCCAACCGTATATACAGACGTTAGAGTGAAAAAAGTAAAAGTGATAAAAGAAAAGGTGGGGGGCAGCTATAGATAGCGTTGCCTGTACGGAGAGCATGGTGGCGGGAACAAGTCGAGTTGAGGCCGAGAACATTTCACATTACGGAATTGTCTGGTTCACTCGACTAAAAGGGCGGGAAAAATCAAATAAGAAACAAGATCCTGTACAGGCCGATTCTTCGGCGAATGAAACACCGCCCCTGTTGTGAACTCCGTTTAAATATGTGTCTTAAGACCTGAAAATGCAACAAAGAATAGAGAACAGATAGTTATGGGAAGTGAAAAAATGATAAGGGGGGTTTTTATGGCTTTTTCTTCGTGTGGCTTCCTGATGCAGGGTTTTGTACCGATTCGTCCCCTTCTATGACCCGCCACAGTCTTGAGATCGAAAACCCGCTGGAAGAGAAGTAGATACCCACTAACCAGGCGGCGAGGATATTAGTGAGATGGTGGAGGAGGTAAGCGTATGAGACGCCGTAGATCGCCGAGTAGATGGCAATAAAGAAGAAGAGCAAAGAGGTGACATGTTTGAACCTATATGGCCATGAGTTGCCGTTCGGTTGTGCCTTAAGGCTGGGGGCTTACCGTGTGGTGACCCGAGGGATCATAGTTCCAGTAGTCATGGCTTCCACGAGGAGAACAAATGGCATTATTGATAGCACATTATGATGCGATGAGAATGGCATGAACCAATGCACAACCAGATTATGAGCCCAGACGAGAAGGACCAAAGCGTTAATCGGCAGGATCCACAGCATCAGGAGGAAGATCGAGTATGCGAAGTTGGCGAAATTATAGTGGGTTGTGGATTTCTAATAGCTATTAGCATTGTTGGATGGAGGCAAACAGGAACGAGAGCTTACAGCCTCTTTCGCATGCCAGTTGGCTCGGACACTAGTAGCTAACTGTACAATGCACGCCACCATGTATGCAAATTGATAAGGAATGACAGTCGACACGAGGGCCAAGAGAATGGCCGAATTGACCAGTCGTCGCCTCGGGCCTGCGGAAGAAAAGATAGGGAGGTTTCTATGGGGAGTTAGTAGGTGAAACTATGCGGGTCTAAAGTGACGCACCCTTTCTCATCACGTCGAATGTAGCCCGACTTGCTTCTAAGAAAACCGTAAATGGACGTGAGGAGGAATATTAACGCGAGCGCTACATAGTTGATCATGAGACACACTCCAACGCTAATCAGGCCAAAAACAGGCACTAGGAACCAGAAGAAAGTGTCTTGCGAGCCCAGGAGGAGATCGTTTTTGGTGAAGTCAACAGGGGACTCAGTGGAGTTCGTACGCCAATGGAACGGGTCGTCAGTAGGCGGCAATTTGGTAGATGTCGCTAGGGAAGATGCTAGCAGCGACATGGCCAGAAGGAGCATGGGAAGGGATGATCGCAGTGCACTGTCCAAACCTTCCGCAAATGTGATGAAATAGCCTGTCTCATCATACACCTGAAACTGCTTACGCATGACCAGGGCAACAACAAGGAGCGGGAATGCAGCGAACACGGTCCGGTACCGCATTACTAGCTCGCCGAGACTACTAGTAATATCCACCGACAAAGAGATGTCAATCGTGGAATCACAGCTCGGATCTGTCCAAAGATGAAAAGAAACACCACCTAATTTCGCTTGTTCTCGGAGGGGCGGAGGCATGAAGGGCGCCAGACCATGTAAATTCACATTGACATCTTTGACATTGACAAAGAACTTGGACTCATGCGGATCTGCGACAGACTGTCGCAAAAGGGGAGCGAACAGCTCTTGCTGTTGCCCGTGATTCTTTCGGACGATTTTGAGTCTGTAATCCAGCAGACTCGAGTGTACGGCGGGAATTTGCAGCTCTGTGAGCATGGGACGGTTGGCTGGCAGACGCACCCTCAGTCCGGCACTGAGGAGGCTACCCAAACCCAATCGAGCCCTGACCACAGAGTCTGAGCTATCTGAAAATTCGGCCAGCACAAAGCCCTTGGTGGGCGAGTTTGCTTTATCCACGACGGCTACAAACTGGTGCTCTGCGAGATCTTCCAGATCGTACTGGAGGTAAGAGAAAGGCTGTACTCGATCATAAGGACGCTTCGAGGAGGGTGTCGAGGCCGGTAAGTGAATTCCATCCTCGGCGGCATTTTTGCAGGCGAGACGAGTTGAGCCTGAGGTACCTCCGGAGAAGTCCATGTTCATCGAAAATGCCGTTGCAGGTTTTCCATTCTGCAAAGGGAACACGCTACAGAAAAGAACCTCCAGGCTCCCATGATCCCCGGACCTATCAAATGGCTGGTTTGTAAGAAGGGTGAACTTCTTTCCGGATACGCCTTGCGGAGGAATAGGCAACAAGTGTACATTCGGGCCTCTGCGGTGGCCTAAGTCGCGAAGAATGAGCCGTTTGCCTTGCGGTAAAATCGTGTTGGACTGGTCTTCCAATGTCAGAAGAGTATTAGGCTCTGATTTAAAGAAGGTTAGCCGTTAGCAAAATTGAGTGACTGGAGAATAGTACCCTTTCGCGGAAGCGTTCTCTCCGCCACAGTCTCCATTCCAGTCAAATACCACTTCTTGAAAACCCGCATCCGCTCCGCCCTCGGTTTCGTCTGTGTTGCTCGTCGGACATCGACGACTTCAAACAAGGATTTGATGATAGCTTTCCGGAATTGATCGCACCAGGTGATGGACAAGTGGTCCATGCCGATCCAGACATCAGGGATAGTAGACGTGAATACGGTGAAACCGTGAGTCTCAGGAACAAGAGAAGAAATGCTAGCGTAATCAGAGGGCACAACAGTATCGCGCGAACCACCAGCAATGGAGATGAGTGTCACATGCCACAGCGGATTGTTGTTGGCCCAAGTCTGCGAGTAGGCCTCCCGCCAATAATCGTTGATTTGCTTATAGGTCTGAACGATATCCGAGTCAAACGAGACGGGGGGTTTCGCGTGGGGAGCTGACATGGTAACAATCGTATTGACCGAGTTCGCTTGATAATTCGTCATTGTTAACGCTGTTCGCGCAACGATGCCACCCATAGAGTGCCCAACCAGGACAACTGCACTCGGATCTGGTAGCTCCGGATCTCTTCGCGAACGTCGGGGATCATGATAAAGCGACAGAATATATGCCACGGCTTCATTGACGTATTCGGCTTGGTCGAGTAGGGTTTGTCCATGGAAGGCAGCCATATCCTCGTTGAAATCGATCATAAAGAAATCCAAGCTTCGAGTGCCGGCATTCAAACGATCTTCATCATGCCGAACAACATCGTAGTAGTGTCTCGACGCTTCGGCGGCTAAGGATCGGACCTGCCGGTAACTTCCAGCATTTCCGGGCAGGAACAGGACGGGAACCCCATTCAACTATATCGTATTGACGTTTAGCAATGTATTTGGTGGAAGGTAGACAAAGGCCACACAGAGTGAACATACCCCGAGGTTTTCCTGACTATATGGGTCAACACCTCCCTCTCGGTAGAGATAGAGGTTATATTTGCTGGCAAAGCGCGTATGTTCCGTGTCAAACCCCACCATGCGAATGAATGTCGGACTCATAACGGGTACTCCACAGCCATCTCCACCAGTCTGACGAAGGGCGAATGAGCGGAGAATAAAAAAAAGGAGGATCGAGGCGACGAGGGTGGTGAAGGCTGTCAGAATGGAACACGGCCACGGACTGCGGAGGCGGGACGGTCGATAACGGCGCAGATGGTCTGGCGACGCCTCAATGGATAGACGCTGAGAGGCCAATGGCATCATGACGGAGGATGATTTGCAGTCCGAAGGGATTGAGGTAATTGATGAGGACGGCGGCGTCCTCCACATGCTCGAGTTTCGGGACCTGGGGGTTGAGGCGCCTGTGGCGTCTCTCCGGAGGTCGATGCTGGTGCCTGTGCGGGCTACCTGCGAACGCGATTTTTCCGGCGTGTCGACGACATTGGGACCATTACTTGGCTCTGGTGGAGTTCGAGAGCTTAAGGAATCTTCAGCGTCGTCCTCGACAGGCGAGCCAGACGAACGTCTGTGCATTGGAAGCGGCAGAAGTCGTCGTACTCATCCAGCACGCAGGGGCCGATCGATCGCAAGTTCGGAGGAGACTTCGGGGGGCGAGCCTAGCGACGACGGCACGTAACCAGGGGATAAGAAACAAGGAGACAAAAGAATGTTCAATATCTCGAACCGATAAGAAATTGAAAGGTAAACCGATGAACCGACCGGGGTAGAAAGATCGGTGGTTGGTTGCGCCGTTCTTAATTTAATTAAATTTCTTTTTTTTTTTTTTTAACCTTTCCAAAGTACGTACTCCGTAGGCCCCTAGGGAACGAGGCCGAGACCAGAGCAAACGAACGAGCGGCAGGCCGACCGAGGTTGGACAATAAAAGGAATGCACGGTAAGGGAAGTAATTGTACCTGCACTAGAGAAAGTGAGAGCGATCAAACCTAACCATCACCAGGAAGAATAATAGGAAAAGGGAAATTCAGAAAACAGAAGAAAAGGACGAAGGACAGCGATCACCCTGAAGAGGAAGGGGTGAGTTTGAGCGCAACGTCAAGATCCCACTCGATAAACCAATACTCTATCTTAACGACCAGGAAAACCCCGTTTCCGGCCTTCCCTCTTGGCGGATGCACGCGGCACCAGCGATCATCCTACTCTCTCTCTCTCTCTCTCTCTTTTTGGTCAATATTAATTTAAATTGTTAAACTATTTACTTCCTCTCTACAATATTGTATGATCCAATGGTGGAGCAAACAGGGTTCTTATACTTATTATTATCTTTTCGAATGATTCCTGGTACATTATTAGATTGGATACGAGGGAGAGTTAAGGCATCTCAAGTTACGGTATCAAGACAACGTCATCCTTTCCTTAGCCTAGGACGGATTAAAGGGTTCAAAGGGTGCAATTGACACAAGTCCACTCCCGATCATAGCATAAATATACTATTCTTGGACTAGGGATTAATCTTGTAGAGTATCATAATGTTTATTTGATCGGAGACTGGTGAATGAGAGAAGAGAGAGAGAGCACGCCATCCCCGTGCCCCTCCAATCGATAATTCAAGGCCAATCAAAGGACAATTTTCCTTCTGTGGTCTTCAAGTTGTACGACCAGCAACGTAAGACATCTTTTGTCAGCAATAACCTTATATGATTTGACCGTCAGAATGCGGGGTTTGTTTGGAAAAGTTCCCCGTCATACAAAAGGGGACGAATTCCCCCATCAGCGACTGGTATGCATGTACATAGTTTCCTCGCTCGAGCTCCTCCGATGGGATGCGCGCTTGAAGTGTCGTGTACGTAGTAAGTTATTCCTTTCCAAGACTTGTTAACTCGTCCGCGGCGAATGAAGAAAACCCTCCATGTGACCAACTCTCATGAGCATTGACCATATAAGATAAACAATTAAGCAGATTCAGATGCCACGTTCCATCTCACAAGGTCATTTGAGTGGTGTATCGGGCTTGATAATACCTTACTAACTTCTATATACCTCTCGATAGGTCTAATTTTCGCGTTGCCTACGAAAGCGACCATGAGGGACAAAGAAATGTACATATCAGTGAACAGGGCTGGGCTACCACGGGGTAGATACCGGGCAAGCTAGAGATCGGATGGACCCACGCCGGATTGAAGAGCGAGTACAGCCGATACATGGACTACTATAGAATAGTAAACACGACACCTTTGCCAGAATAATGAAGTATGAGATCATCTGTCTACGCCTGTCAAACCATTACGTATATTCAATCTCAACATGCAATAACTAGCCTTCAACCCGGGAGACCGTGCCCTTCTCCACATCGCTCTCGGCACCTTCCCCCACCGTAGTCGTCCCACGATGGGCGGCCACCTCCGCCATATCAGTATCATGCGCAACATCAAATTGGCGGCCCAGTCGCTCCGGCCCGAAGAAGGTCACTATAATTGTGTAGGCGTACACACAGCCCATAAAGATACAAATGACTTTCCCATACTGGTATCGATGCTTTTCCGTCTCAGTGGGTGGCAGGGGAAAGCGCTCGCCGATCGTGGATTCAATCGTGGAACTGGCCGACGAGACCAGATTGCCCAACTGGTAGGCCGTTCCCACCGTGAAGGTGCGAATTGCTCCCGGAGACAGCTCCATCAAATGAATGGGGATCACCCCCCATGCGCCCTGCACGCAGAACTGCTCAAAGAACGCCGCGGCCATGACGTCGGTCGAGGTGACGAAGGTGTAGGGGTATAGAAGCGCACCACCGACGATGCTGATCACGATGATAGAAAACCGACGCCCAAAGATCTGACTCGCCCAGCCACACAGCGTCCCACCGGTGAGAGCGCCTAGGTTGGAGACAACTTGAGTAACAGTCACAGCGTTGGCAGAGAAGCTAAACTCGCTTTTCAAGAGGGTTGGATACAAGTCTTGGGATCCATGCGACTACATGAACAAAGATGTCAGGGGGGAATTCTCAAATTAGGCCATCTGGAGCAATGGCTTACCATGAAGTTGAAACCCGCCATCAGCAAAACGAGGTAAAGAAGGAGCAACCAATGCCGCTTCAGAGCTGTTTTGCCTTCTGAGATGAAGGATGACGCTACTCCACCTCGAACGTCTTCTCGGGTAGCCTGCCGTTGAAGGAACGTATTGGTTTCCGGCAGACACAATCGGAAGAGAATAATCAAAACGGGAGGACAGGCGCCAAACCAATACAGCGGTCTCCATCCGTGAGGAGTAGTATCGACTAATCCCCGTGCGAATGCAGTGGCCAGCAGGTAGCCGAATGCGTACCCCTGTTGGAGCAGACCGGACACGATGCCTCGCGCTTCCAAGGGACAGTCCTCCAGCGCCGTTGCCGCTGCATTCCCATAGAGACCACCCATTGCAATCCCAAAGAGAGCGCGGCAAGCTAAGAACTGCTTATAGGTCTGGCAAAAGCCAGTGCCCAGCTCCAAAACAATGAAGAGGATGTTATTGACAATGAACGGCCATTTTCGACCCCAGCGATCAGAGGCAATTCCGAAGGTGATGGCACCCACGGATCGAAGCATGAGTACAAGGGTAATTCCCCAGGTGATGTCGGAAACGGATTTATCGAAGGCCTCTGCCAATTGAGAAGTTGTTAAAGAAACCGTGAAAAAATCGAATGCATCCCAGGACCACCCTAGAAACGCGACCTAGAGGCAGTTAGCTGTGCCCGGGAGGGGCAAAAGTTGGCGGACGCACTGTAAAGAAAAGCCATTGCTGTCTATTGAGAAGAGAAAGCGCCTTAAATGGGTTAGGGGCGGGATTCATCGGTGGTACCAGCGTTGGCAGCCTCGTCCAGAGATACCTCCCTACGCTCATGTGTTCCATCTCATCGTTGTCTGGTGATGGAGTGTGATTGCCATCGGGGCGCTTTTCATGAGTTTCTGCCTCCATGGTGAAAGAAGCCAGCCAGGAAACTCAAGAGATAACAGAAGATATTGAAGAAGTTTTGTACCAGAAAGATGAGACTGGAGCGGCAGGAAGCTCGGGAAAAAAAAAAAGAAATTCTTTTCAGAAGGCGAGGGAGTAAGAGAGAGATCTCCGATTTAAATCTCCGACAGGGCCCAAAACAAAAGGATTCAAGGCTCTGAGCCTAAAATGCTGCTAAGGAGGGACCCCGCAAAATTTCCTCTCCATCCTTGCCGCCGGGGGGGTGGCTGCCGATCGTCGACCTCGGGATGAGGTTGTAAAGACTGATGGTGAGGCCTATTTCCTAATTTAAGAGCATAGAAGTCTCATCGAACAGATGACCCGTGGATTGCAAATCGGGAAGAGGACAGTGGCCCGAGTTATGGATGCATACTCCTTGCGCGAAAACCAATATCTGGCTCCATGCATGATGGCTCGGATCATCATGGATTCAATCATCTGACGGGAAGCCTCAGCTCACCCATGGATTGATCTCTCTCTTTAGTACCCGTCACATCGCCAAGCTTTTTACTCCAGACCGTGCCAAGCCCTCTCCACGTTTTCATCTTGAATCTCCAGACTTTCGGAATTCATGTAGTTGGATGTGTGTCGCTGTCCAATTTGATACCATTTATACCATCTCTCACGTTCATTTTTCTCTTGGCTATCTCAACGGTACATACCGATACACAATCCGTTCTCTTTGTATCTCCGATACCGCCACCGGCGTCAAGAAGAACAATCTAGTTGGAGGTTCGGTGCTTACTCCCTAGCCATGGTCCTCGCCGCGGGGTACGAGCTCACTAGCGGATTTAGTCATTCCAGTCAACCATTTAGTCCACACAACTAAGGATCACTACGGTAAAAGTCTGACCGTAAGAGTTAACTTTGATTGATTGGCTTCATTCCACGAGACCCATCCACGCAGCATATCGGCCTTGGCCCGACCGGATTGGTGAGTTTTCCCACAACGGCATGCACAGATGCGGTCATGATCAGAACAGCTTTTCAGCTGCTAGAATGGCTGCAGTCCAAAGCCACTCATATTATGAGCGTCACTGTATGCGCCATGTGATACGACGGCATTTGCTTCCCGAAACGCACGGGGTATGTATAATTTCCTGGTCTAAACTTACTACTCGGCTAGGCACATGCCTTAACGGAACCGCCGAAGTATCTTTTCTTTCTTTTTTGGGTTTCTTAAACCCAACTCTTGTTTTCTGCCCAGAACTTCTTAATCCCTCTTGGCTTTGTCTTGCCTAGCCGGCCCAGCCGGGGGGAAAAGCTTTTCCGGACAACTTCCTTGTTCGCACACAATCCCGAGGTTTATGCAACGGCGCGTATTTGGGGTTACATCATTTTTTTCTGAATCTAGTGGAAGGGGTCAATGGAAATCAATTTGATCATGCTTCGGCTAGTGGGTTAGGGCTGCGCATACTTTGAGTCTGCCTGTCAATGATGCTATCAGTCTCTTTGTCCCCAATCCTGGGGACATGAGTCAAGATTATTAGTACTTTTATACAATTGGTGGTTGGTACCAACCACTCAGGACTCTAGTATGGTGACCTAATGCCAAGCGACAGGCTACGACGTGATACCACGTCGTTGGTCGCAAACCGGATTAATCGAAACTGATAAGATACTGATCTGCATTTCCGACCCTATTTGTAAGCTGCACGTAGCATGCATTCGCGCTTGGATGTTATGGGCGCTCCATGTGATACAATGGGAATTATAGTACGGCATAATATAACTCTCGTGTTGGTATTTCAGTTTGATGGAGGGGGAGAAAGTGTTCGTAGTGAGCTAGGTCACTTGATCTCTCCAGATATCTAGATCAACGAATGGTTCCTTATATTACCCACCGATTATACCAGGTGACGCCAGACGAATGAGCATACGTACAGAGAAGTCACAACGTAAACTGCGTTGATCCGGAATTAGCTATATGGCACGTTTTTGAAAGAGAACCTGTATGTCCTTTGCCATGTAGATAGAAAAATGTTCCCTCATGCTTCTCTCAAGGTTTCGCCCATCGTCGCCAAGTGGTAGTTCCATATCAAAAGTTGTTATCAGTCGAGCAACAGTTGCCCGGATATTCATGAGGGCTAGGGACTTGCCAATGCAGGTGTATGGCCCTGACAACATCAGCTGTATATCTCATGGTCAGGTAAATTCATTTGTCAGCGTACCCGTTGTGAATGGGGCGAAGGCAGATCTCTCCTTGATCATTTTGGGATACAGGTACCATCGCTCGGGGATAAAGTCCTGGGCGTTTTGATAGACATTCTCGGCTAGGGCAGAAAATTCATTAGTTATAAAAAACCATCGAACTGCTCTGATAGCGAGTTGCTTACATCGACCAATAACCCATTGCGGGCAGGATATATTCATGTTCCCCGGCACATGCGTCCCGTCGATGTTGATTCCCTCCGGCGGTGTCTTCCGTGGGATGTAGCTCGGGACAGGGGAGTGTATGCGGAGCGTCTCGTAGATGATACCATTTAAATGTCTCAGGATTGCGAGACTCTCCTGGGAGTATTCCCCGTTCGGGTCGGTGGTATAACTGGTTAACTCGGCCCGTAGTTTCTGAACCTCGCTTGGACGACGTGCCAATTCGTATATGATTGTCGTCAAAGTTGTTGCCGTAGTGTCCCTATCGCTGTGGGTAACGATCATACACAGAGTCAAATGTACGAGTGGTGACTTACCCTCCTGCGTTGATAATCAAAGACGCATCTCCGAGCAACACATTGGACTCGTCGGATGTTGGTGCCCGCCCTTTCAGCGGTTCCAGCAGACATGCACTAATATCAGGTATTTCTTGCTTCGTCTGGTCCCATTAGCATGACTGGTCCGTGGACGAATTGTCAGTTCACCATACCGCCATCCTCATCTTAAAGAGTTGACCCCAGTATTCATTGAATTTCCAGAATGCCTTGGTGGTGCCAGGAATAGATAACAGTAGTCGGAAGAACCATATTGGCATCAGATACTCCACCGGCTTGAGCATACGGTGTGTCATCAAGATTGCCCAATGGGACGCACTGTTATCCAACATGTCGAAGCTTTGGCCGAATGCCAGGTCGCCCATCACATCATACCCATACCAGGTGAACAAGGTGCTAACATTTATGGGCTTGCCACCTTCCATCGATTTGATCTGGTTGATGAGCTTCTGCCTATATACCTGTATCCGCTTCTCATATCCATGTAGGGCACGGTCGGTGAACCCTGGGTTCCAGGTACGGCGATGTTTGTCGTGATCAGCCCTATTACGGTGCGCGTGAAGCGACCTTAGGGGTGCAGAGCCATCGTACCACGCACTCTTGGTACACGTAGATTTGAAGCCGTAGATGGTGTTAACGGCTCTAGGATGAATGATTGAGAGATCAGATGGCCCTACGCGGACAAAGTCACCGTATTCATTGTGCAGGTCGGCAAGCTTGCGATAGAGAGTCTCGTGGCGAAGTTGAGCTGATAACCAAAACGCTGAGACCTTTGACAGAAAGGGCCCCGGAAAACATCGAAGTGGATGAAATAAGAGGCGGTATATGACGAGGCTACTGTATAGACCAAGTAAATGGGTGAAGACCAAGTACAAGGATCTGGAAAATGCCGAATTGAAAGGGATTTCTTCCGCGTTGTAAAGAAAGGCTGCAATGCAAATGAATGATCCGATGTAGCCGTAAATGTACCTCGTTGGATATAGATGGTGCTCGCCAAAACGAAAGTAAAGTAGATGGGTCAAGACTCCAAAGGCGAAGGCGTGAAGTGCCGGATTTTCCTTGATATCCATAATGTAGTTTGTCATTAGCGTGTGGTGGAACAACATTGGAAGGGACAGACCATCCTCAAATACCCAAATAATAATCTAGGTCAGCTGATGATTTTGTTTTCGGAGCTTATATTCTTTTAGAACTGTAAGCTTAACAACTTCAGATACCGTTGCATAGTCTCGTCTGACGAGCAACTTTCTGTGGAACATAGATTCGGCTACAAACTACTAGCAGTGGCACATCTGTATGCAGATCGCCATCCCGGTAGAAAGAAAATCATATCTTCGGCATAAGTCAAGGAGTAAAGCGAGTAATGTATAGTGAATGAAGATTTGTAATATACGGACACCGGAGTGCATTCCGCGGCGTGTATGCATCGCGCAGACCAGGGATGGGCGAGTCAACTTTGTACATAGATAATATGGTTACCGAACACCTAAACTCGAACTGAGCAGCTTGGAGTTAGCCAACAAGTCATCAAGCACTACACACAGTGTATGTGAGTATTTAGTCGTTTAACTGCATGATGCTTCTTTTCTTTAGCTTACATATAATCGTATCCGTGAAGCAGTTAATTAGCATTGGGATTACAAGAAGCGGTTGGGCAAACGTGATACAGACATGTGAGGTTCCGAAGCTTACTAGGTTTTGAATTTGCTTCACCATCAGTAGTGGAACATGGGATTTCCGCCAGGTTACCCAGCTGAGATCGGGATATGGAAGTCGAGATGCATGGTAACAATGATATGGGACGAACTTGATCATCGATTAGATCTAGGAGGTGGGTATCTGCAGCCCGGTTGCTTTGAAGTAGGCTACCAACGCATACCGATAACTACTGACTTCATGTTTCTCTTTTAATTCTTTTGCATTGTGTCTAGGGTTTACCTCATTTGGGAAAGGCACTCCCCGTGACTCGCATCCTCTTCTTCCCTGTTTCATCCACACATCTTCCTTGAATCCTTCCCATATCATTATCTTCTATCATCCGTCAACCCCAATCCATCCGGATCAATGTCGTCAACTGCTTTTATGTTACTTCAAATATCCTATCTAATCGCCAGTTACTGAGTTGGTCGGATCGGGATCTAACCAAGCACTATCCAAGGTTAACAAGTGGACTGTAGCCTGGCATAGTGTGTACCATACAGAGCTGTAGTGTGGGCAGTGTGATCTAACGACGTCGTCACGCCTCCACGCCATGACAAGTATTATCCACTGTAGTTTCCAAGTTAAGTTTGAGCTTCAACTGACAGAATAGGAATTTATGTGATAAATCCTCGGAAACTATACATTCTTGGTACGAACGGCGAGCATTTCCCGAGCGATGCTATTTTCCACCAATCACCAGATCTCGACCTTAGCCTTTGAAGGTTAGATATACATTGTTACTTGGAGTCTTGGCTACTAAGCAACATTGGTCTTCGTAACCTATGATTCAGCCTAAATGTATCGTTTATCCGACATGGCTTTCAGATCGTCTCGCATCAGAGAAGAGGTTGACACGAAACTTACCCCGCATACCTGAAGCCAAGATGCAAAAGAATCGCTCATACCAGCATGCATTTTGCCGTTAGGCCAGGAGGCCCGGGGTTTATTAAGGTGGCTGTTGTATGCCATATCAATTAAACTGTAAGTTTACTTCTATGCACTAGAAATTGCTGGAGGTCGACAAATTTCCAAGAAAATATACCTATCGCTTATCGGATTACGTTAGAGAAAACTGCTATAATGTCTTCGGGGATCCTGAAAGTTAAAGGCAACAAGGTTGTCGATGACAACGGCAATGAGGTCCTCCTTCGGGGTGCAGCCATCGGAGGATGGATGAAGTACGTCGGCCCCAGTTACTCCTGCCATCATAGTGTAATATACTAATTTTATGGTCCTTCTAGTATGGAAAACTTCATCACTGGATATCCAGGCCATGAGTCGCAACACCGTGCTGCGATGAAGAACGTTTTGGGGCCAGAGAAATACGAATTCTTCTTCGACAGATGGCTGGAATATTTCTTCACAGAGGCAGATGCCAAGTTCTTTGCCGGACTAGGGTTGAATTGTATTCGAATCCCCTTCAACTACCGCCATCTAGAAGATGATATGAACCCGCGCGTGCTTAAAGAGTCTGGATTCAAACATTTGGATCGTGTGGTAGACTTGGTAAGCTCTCCTATCAGACCAATATCCAATCTATTGTTCACAGAACACTCACCTTTGGTCACGAGAATAGTGCGCAAAACAGAATATCTACACCATACTGGATATGCACACGGCTCCTGGCGGCCAAAATGGTGACTGGCATTCAGATAACTTCACCAGCTACGCTGCGTTCTGGGACTACAAGGACCACCAGGATAGAACAGTATGGCTATGGGAACAGATTGCGGCTAGATATAGGTCTAACCCGTGGGTCGCCGGGTATAATCCTCTTAACGAACCGTGCGATCCTGAGCATGTTAGACTTCCTGCATTCTACGAGAGGGTTGAGAAGGCTATCCGTGCCATTGATCCAGACCATATCCTATGGCTAGATGGAAATACGTTTGCCATGGAGTGGAAAGGCTTTGACAAGGTCCTTCCTAACTCTGTTTATTCCATCCATGACTACGCTGTATGTCTCCCTTCTCATTGCTCCGTTCTTATACTCCAATTCAAAATAAACGCTAACTCTAACAATGAAACAAAGTCAATGGGCTTCCCAACAGGCGAGCGCTACAAGGGTACAACCGAGCAAAACGCTCATCTAGAACGCACTTATCTTCGCAAAGTTCAACATCTGAACGAGAAAGGCACAGCAATCTGGAACGGCGAATTCGGCCCCGTCTATGCAGATCCCCGCGCTGACGCAGAAGCCTCAGCCATCAACCAAGAACGCTACAATCTCCTCGGCGAGCAGCTCCGCATCTATGATAAGTACAACATCCACTGGTCCATCTGGCTATATAAAGACATTGGACTCCAAGGCATGATCTACACGAACCCAGATAGCAAATGGAATAAGACCATTCAACCCTTCCTAGAGAAGAAGAACCACTTCTGGCTGGATTGTTGGGGAAGACGGCCTAGCGCTGAACCCGAAGCGGCGCTAAGACCGCTTGTTGAATGGATTGACAAGGTCAGTCCCCAGGCGAAGGAGACATATCCTACGCCGTGGAACACGGAGAGGCATTTATTACGGAATGTGTTCCAGACGTTTTTGGCGGCATCTTTTACGGATGAGTTTGCGGAGTTGTTCCGGGGCATGGATGAAGCGGAACTAGATTCTTTAGCACGGAGCTTCCATTTTGAGGAGTGTGTGCAGCGGGATGGGCTGAATGAGATACTGAGAGAACATGCCCATGCTCGCTAGGCTTAACTGAGATACTATATTTGAGAGTAGGTATACACTCTGTGATATAAGAGCCGCGCATAGTGTATACCAAATGATAACAAGTCTTATAGCAGGAATCTGAACTGTATTGAAGAGTAAACCAATGACTTCCATAAAGCCATTTATTCCAATTGAAGCAAACCCGATCTGCTCATGAGCAAGTACGAGGCAGAATAACAACGCTGCCCGGAGTTTGGTATATATATATCTCCTTGAATCAAGGGAACAATATAGCCTTACCAAACACATATCTATAGATAACAAAAGCAAAACACCATTCAAAACCCATTATATGTGCTGTTAGGGTATCTGTAAATACAGACATTGATGCATAAACGTGCAGAATGCTCAACACCAAGCTCCATATGAACTAACGCTCGTTTGTACCGAATCCAAAGGCAATGAGATATCATGGAAAAGAAATATTCGTAATCTTGCAGCGATTTCAAAGGGGGAGAATTCTCTGAAAAGCCGGCTCATATGTGATGTATGTTTTTCGTATTTCGTAGATGATGTTACCAATCCTGACCACGGTCCTTCATCAGGATTTCTATAGCCTCATCTTCGGGAACTGGATTATCATTCAGTTCTTTAACACACTCTGTTAAACCCTCGGCAGCTTCGTCAACTTGCTCAGCTGTCCAGTTAGTGCAGGCCATGACCATTCGCCGATAGCTCTGACCAAGTACCACATTCTTCGATTTAAGGCGGTCGATTTCATTCATGATTTCTTCGTTGAATGCTTCATAGCCTTGTATGCGTTGCTGCAGAGCTGCAGCAGACGGTAGCGAGTCTAAGAAAGCAGTTTGCTGTTCTGAAAATCCAGAGGCAGGATCAAAGTTTTCCGGAAAGATAACTTCAAATTTGTCGATATCAATTCCGGAGTCTTTGTCGGCATCGCCGACTGACATCGTTCTCGATGAATCATATGAATCACCATGGATGCTCTTTAGAAGTACAAGCAAATCTTCAGATGACATCTCAAGGTTTTTGAAGCGCCTGCTCAGTCCTGTACGATCTGAGGCTTTGCGCCTGAGCTCGTCAAGTTGTTTCTGTTCAATTTGCCGAGCTTTCGCTGACTCGCGGATTTTTGAATGCCAATGCTCAAACTTCTCGTGCTTTTTAGCGAGATTCGTGGCCAATTCTTTGTCAAGGCCTCCTAGTGTTTCCTGCACTATCGTGCTAATCTGGGCTAATGTTGCTGCACAAAGAGTCAGTGGGTCGAAATAATTATAACGATCAATATAGTTGCCCTCTTACCATCAAGGATTTCCTTTTTAGTCTTAGCTAGTTGGTCCATAAAGGAATCATTCTTGGTTCCAGACTGCTGAGATTGTGAATTTCCATCAACCATATCTACACCCACGCCATAGTCCGCAGGCCGAAGACCAGTATGATTTGGTATGTGAGGGTCTGCACCCACTTCCAATAACTGCGGCACAAGCACAGAACGTGCGCGCCCCGCGAGATTCAGTGCCGTGTCCCCTTGATCATCGCGGAGATTTACGATTTCTGAAATGAATCGACCAAGCGTTATGACCTCACCGGGTTGTTCAATGTTTGCTCCATTTTCGAGCCCATTCGGGGTTTGTCGGCCCTGCACGCTACCTCCATGTCGGACTATAAATTCCAACAAGCCCTCTAAATAATGCTTCGCTGACACATGGCCGCCGCCGCCTGTTGCAGCCATTACAGCGATATGGTGAAGAATTGTTCGCCCACTATAATCCACCATGTCAATTGTTGGAGCAAGAACCTGCAGCAAGCGTGGGAAGCTTCTATAGTCATAATTGTTCCTTGTTCCTACAGATTTCTGCAATGCAGTTTCACCGGCACCATTAAGTCGGAATATACTAACGCCTTTCTCGACAAGCGCATGGACAAGGGGCATACGAGCAAGCATTGATGCCCAATGTAGGGCGTTATTCCGATATTCATCGAGTGGGGTCTCCAAATCGTGACCAGTTAGCTGCATCAAGGCAGGATGATTAGAAAAGTCTTTGGTCCGCTTGTCGAGAAACAAGGTCATAATGAGCTTCATCTTTTGGAACCTTTCAGGAGTTGTCGCTGGAGGAAGTGGTTCAACGCCGCGCTTGTTACCGTCAACCATAGAAGTTGACATATCCATATCTTGATAAAAGGAATCGTTTGGTTCCGTCGGGGTTGCCTCGGTCATCGACACCGCCGAAGGCTCATAATGGAGTCCAAATGAATGCGTATGGTTGGAAGAAGACCGGACGCGCTTGCGCGGAGGTTCAACAAACTCATCGTGATCAAACGCTGAGGTATCATGAGGGTGTCGGCCATTGTGGTGAAGGTTGTTTCCGAATCCGTTGTCGGATGCCATGCTGTACATGCTCTGTTGACTGGCAAAAGGAAGCTGCGATTCTTGACTGCCTGTCTGATTTGAAGGCTTTCGTATGATACTTGATCGCCTACCATCGATACCTCTTGCTGCAGGAGAATCAAAGCGAGCTTTACTCATAGCGTTGACCGCTGTAGCGGCAGTGCGAGAAATGTTCTGGAAGAAAGTACCCTGTTGTGGTTGAGACATATTACGATTGTCCATGCCGCTGTATAGCCGTTTTCTCTGCGCAGCCATCGCCTGTTCCTTCGTGGGGGTATCTAAAGAGTCCTGCGCGGAACCAGTGGTGCCGTTGGGCCCCATGTCGTATTCAAGAAGCGGCCTCAGCATTTCCTCAACGTGGTATTCGCGACAAAGTTCCACGCCCCTCTGGTAGTTCACCCATGTGCCTTGGTATTTACCATAGCCTCCCTGGACCTTCTCATGTTCACCAGCCGCTATTTCCTTTTCGAGCGTCTTCGTCCTCCTCGCCTTGACAACACCGGCCACTTTGAGGATCTGGGTGGCATTTAACCAAGAGTCCGAACGACGCTTCATAACGGCGACTCCATTAACTTCCATTTCGTAGACGGAAACATTGGAATAAACTGCCTATACATGAACAGGGAGCGTCAACATGGAATGGACCTTGAAAGTAAAGGCCGCGCGGTCACACAAAGATAGGATAGAACATACTCTGTAGATTTGAGGCTTCATCTCCTCTTGATACGTCACCATTGTTCCATAGCCATTCATGTCTTCAAAGCCGTTAAAACTACCTCGCGTACCATGAGGTAGGCCATTCGAATAGGTAAATGACATTGCCGACTGTTGCGATCCTTTCGGAGGGGGTGTACCTCGAGGAGTTGTTGCCACGGACTGGGAAGCATTGAAAGAGCCAAGTTGCGACTGCGAAAATGACATCCCATTGGCAGACCCAATGCTACTTTGGGAATATGACATGGGTAGGCTTGGACGCGGCGGGTGGTGATTGTTGGAAGCCATTGAACTTGTTTAATTTCGGTATTTGGGGCCCCAACCCAGGCACCATACACATATATCTGACAGCGCTTAAATCTCTAAAATTCTCAGCTGCGCCAAATGAAATGGTATAACAACTTTTTACCAAGCAAAAAAAAAATAAAAAAGCAGAGCGAGGGAGTCAAGGCATGTGGGGAAATGCACCTATCCTAAGGATCGACCGGATTCGCGCGAAGAGGCGAAGAGGCGCGTGGTTTAGCGCACCGGTCGCGAAAGGGATAGCTAAGCTGGAACCGAACGTATACGACCACCCGTCCAAGAAGATAGTATCACCCACCCAAAGAGTTAGAGAATTGTATAGAAAGAATCAGAGACCTGTCTTCTTCGATTCGTCCCGTCTTGAACTGATTATGCCAGTCCCGACAACGAAGAGAAAAGTCGCGGGGTGGCTACTTAGTCGCGTTTTGGGTTTAGCGTCTTCGGTTTTCGCGTTAACAACCGTCAAATCATGTTATTTCCCTTTTCAGTTCGCCTCGGGCAGTCAAAGTTCTTCCGAACACATATACATCGTTAGCCAACAACATGGGGAGGAAGGAGGCCGTGGAAGCTGCGAAGCTAGCTCTCGTCAATCCATGGAAGCAACATTCATGGCGTCGTTATTTTCGTGCCTTACTTCGCCAATGTTCTTACCTACCAGACCCCGTTGCGAAATGTACCATACATGACTATGTTGTCCAAAGATTTCGACGTTACGTGATAGAAGAGCGACGCCCATGGATCAGATGGAATGCCGAGCGGCAGATCTTTCTCTTCAATGAAGTAAAGGATACCCTGTCATTACTGCAGCGAGCGAACGCAGGATATTCCAAACCACTCGAAAAAGTCATCCGAATGGCATATGGGCGAAAAGGGAGACGGAGGAAGGAATTACTGAGTGCTTTGATCGCCCCCGATGTTCCTGCAAATAATACTGCTGTGGAAGAGGCCCTTCAACGACCCGAGAAATACGAAGATGGCTGGGAACCTCCATCGATCGTGATGGAGCTTCTGAAGTCCCAGCAGAACAACGGGATTCTCTCGCAACTAAACATTCGCCAAGTGAAACACCTTGAGCCGCCCATACCCAAGAAGTGCATCTGGGGAGATGGGGTGGCCAAATCACGAAGGAGGAACATACGGAAGGATTGGTATACCGATGTCCTCGATCACCTCCTTCCGCCACTACCTGACCCCGACCTGGGCATCTTGAAAGGATTGGTTTCAGGAGAAACGCCATGGAACCCGCCGGAATGGAGGACACCAGTGAACCTCTCCGACAGACAAAAGAAGATCAGGCGATTAACCCGCAGTTATCTAAGAACACTATTAAAAGATGGTCCTGTAAAAGGCCCGACATTCAAACCGTACTCCAAAGGACGCCCTCATATCATCACGCGACGATTCATGCAAAGGATCTGGAGGCGCACGCTGTGCCTGATACCGCACATGGAGTGGAACGAGACTGTTAAAAAGCACATCTTCACATGGGACCCGGCCAAGCCGACGCCTAGGCTAGGTATTCCCGGAGGGCCTGAAATATTTGAGGACGTTGATGAACAGGGGAAGATAACGACGACACCAACTGGCTTGCTTCCCGGTGCAATACGGGACACAGGCCGCAAGCCATACCGGGAGACGCCTTTTGAATTGGGATTAGAACCCAAACATGAACTCAACGAGCCAAGAAGCAACCGCCCACACGACCTCATCGCATTTGGCGTCAAATCCAAAAAATCATCCAGCAAGCCATCCGAAAAACCTTTGCGCGTGCCGTCCGACAAACCACCCAGAAAGCATGACCGCTAGGTATAAACTAGAGGTCTTTTAAATCGTTAAAACTACGGTTCTTATCGAATGAAGGTATGACAACGCTCTTGGTGTAGATACGATATTTAGCAACATAAAATGTGCAGGGTTATTCAGCACCCTGGAACATGTGTAACCAAACAAATCACATCGCCTGATTGATAACAGACAAAGCCGCAGACAACCGACGAAGGAGCAATCTGAAAACGACTGGGCCTTGTCGATTATTGATTTAGTGTATTTCTACCAGATACAATAATTTCTTGTGTGGTCAGGACCATACTAAATATCACAAAATCTTCTTTAAAATCGCTTTGTATGAACACCTCAATGTACAGCATACTTACCCATTAGAAAAGCAGTAATCCGGTGCGCCTTAAAACCTCCTATCCTGTCATTCTTCTGGCGGAACATCAGCCAATTTAGAACCAGAAAAGTATTAGGAAATTACCTACTTCTACAATGTCAGCAATCATTACATCAAGTTCCAAATTCATGCTCCAATGATCTGGTTGCGGTTGCATTATGGCCACCAGTGCATACATTAACTGTTAAAGCCCGCCTCCTCCAGATACCGATGCATGCCTGGATTATAAGCCCCTATCACTACATATGATTCTAAACTTCTTACCCTTACCCGTCAAGAGGGGAACTTGGGGATATTCCTTGGTTGTATAGTCTCAGATGGTCCGATCAATCGGACGGAGCCTGGTTTTCCCTCAACACCTCCATTGCCAAACTGCTTGGACTTGATGAAGGATTCGAGGAAGTCCGCCATATAAACTTTCTTTCGTCCGATGGGTGATGGAATGGCAAGGCAGGCCACACATGTTCACCTCATTTTTCTATGTATAGGAAGGGTTATCCGAATCAAGTTTTGAGATTGCTAGATAGCTCTCTTCTTCAGAGGGCGAGCAGTCTAGATGATATTGAACAATCTAATAGGAAGGGACTCTGGCAGTATAATTGTATTCTGCACGCATAATGATGTTTATATATAGCTTGCATAATCAATCGCCCAAATTATGCTCTAATCTCTAGAAAGAGAAATTGTATTTGCTATATCATAACCCCTGTTCAGGACAGGTTAATATGTTCTATGTTCATACAGATTGATATACATACAAGTATACTTGTATAGAGATTGCTGAGCAATACTTCCATCGTTAACCTAGAATATACCTGGTAAGCGTTACTGAATCAATCGTTAATTAGAGAAAAACCTACCTTATTTCCTGACCGCTACGACAAACAACCGTGGATAGGGTAGCAGAACCCGACCATCGATTAACTTGGGATACGCACTCTCCAATCGCTTCAGATATTCGCTTAAAAATGCTTCTTTATCCTGCGGCGACAATGGGTCAACATAGGGTCTTAACCCGGTGCCCTTTACCCATTCCACAATGGCGTTGTGATCCTCAAGTGAGTGGTAGTACTCAGTTCTGAAAATGTTCACCTCAGAAGACAAATCCTTCAGTTGATTATATATCTCCTGTGGTGACTGAAAGGTATCTCTGCCGACATTGCTGAGAGTGGACGCCCAGGGACCATTGGTGGCAACCTCCCTCATCAAGACATGGGAGGGCTCCATCAGATTATCTGGCACTTGAAAGGCAAACACTCCTCCAGAGGTTTGAGTCTCCATCAGGCCTTTAATGACGGCGATCCGCTCTTCCTTCTTCAGCCATTGGAAAACAGCATTGGAAAAGAAAAGATCGACTGACGGAGGCGGAGAATAGGACCGCAAGTCTTCGACACTGAACTCGTAGGTTGGGAGAGCCGCCTTTGCTTTCTGAATCATGTCGGGTGATGAATCCATTCCCACGATATGAGCATCAGGGTAACGAGTTGCCAAAACAGCGGTGGAATTGCCCGGTCCACAACCCAGATCAACTACTCGTTTTGGGGCTTGGAGAGGAACCCGAGCAAGGAGGTCGCGAGCCGGCATAGTCCGCTCATCCTCGAATTTCAGATATTGAGTGGCACTCCAGTCATTCTTAGACATGGCTCTTGATGAGAAAGATAGAGCTCTAGAATGCGATAACTGTGTGAGGGATGACTTTCCGGAGAGCAAGGCGCGCCTTGTAAACAATGGTTGAGTATAGGTAAACATGTAGAACGATAAAAGGTAATTTAGCAATGTCGAGACAAGATTTGATTCTTTGCGAGACAAAATTCTAGTTGAAAGCCTTATTAGCTTGCAGCAAATACAATGAATGTTATTCGATATCGATAGGAATCAGGCAATAGATATATTATGTAGTATTGTAGCATTGCTAACATTCCTAATTGACAGGCTACACTTAATAAGTAGCGAAAATCGGAGCTTCCGGAATTAGCTTAGATGCAAATCGGACTAGCTCTGACATCCTGACCATCATTACTGGCCTATTTACATCCGATTAGCAATCAATAACGCCCGTGAGAATCACTCTATGATTTCTTTGTTATAGTAAACATGGATACTGGCGGAGCTGGTTTGTCGGAGTTCATCAGGCGAGGTTGCGATTCCCGGCTTCTCATCAATTGAGAGTAGTTGGCATCGGAGCGGGGCAAATATCAGAGTACGAAGTACATACAAGGGTCTCTGTGGCAAAGAAGAGACTATACAATCGATAGTCACCCATGTAGGCGATTGGCAATGCTCATTGTGGTGCACTTTCTAATACCTACTACTACTAAATACACAAACTTCTTTAATATGATATCGATCGACTGAAATGCTCCCGCTTCTGTACGATTTATGGGTCGTTCTTTAATTACCTGTTAACACAGCCCCTTTACCCCGCGAAGCCATATTGTTCCTTCCTTCACTTGTCAGCTCCCCAAGTAGAAAAGTAATCTCAATAAATCTCAGACTTCGAAGACTTTCGACTTCTCTTCTGTGTTTATTTCTCTTGGCTTACATGCTTGGCTTCGCTCCACATCACCTCGTAACATTACAAGCATCCTCAGTTACTCATCATGTCTGACCAGTACGGTGGCCATCAGTACAATCAGTACGGGGCACCGCCACATGGTAATGACCAGTATGGTGGATATGGAGGTCAGCCAGGAAACTATCCGACACAAAACCAATATGGGCAGCCTCCGCAGCAAGGCTACTATCAATCTGCAGTATGTCGAGCTTGAGTGCTATCTTTCCCTCCCTATACTTCTTAGGACCATGCATCCACCGCGGCTATCGCTGCATGAGAGTGGAACTATTTCTTGGCTTTTCACTATCTACTAACACTACAATGTTGCAACTTATCTCAGCCCGCTCACGATCAGCAACCTCATACCCAGTATCCCCCGTACGGCCAGCAGCAGAATTATCCCCCACCCTACAGCGCCGGCCCCCAACAAGGCGGATATCCTGGCAATTATGGTCACGGGCAAGGCTCGTATATGAACCCACCGCAAGACGGTGGCCACTCCCCCTACCCCCAGCAGCAATATCACCAGGGTGAGAGTGCTTCGTATTACGGCGCTAGCTCGCAGTCGGACTACGCTTCTCACCCAGGACAGGCCCCTGGCCCGGCGGGACAGGAAGGGGAGAAAGGGCTTGGCTCAACCATTCTTGGCGCTACAGGGGGTGGTTTTGTTGGCCATAAGGTTGGGGGCGGCCTACTGGGCACGGCAGGAGGTGCATTGGTTGGAGCTATAGGCGCGAATATGGCCAACAAAGCGTACGTGTCTCATGCATCATCGTTATCCGCTGCGTATCTATTAGACTCATTATACTAACTTTGTGAAACAGTCATAAGAAGCACAAGAAGGATAAAAAGCACAAGAAGGAAAAGAAGGATAAGAAACACCACCACAAGCGCAAGTCCAGTTCCAGTTCGTCGAGCTCGAGCTCGAGTTCAAGCTCCTCTTCTGATTAGGTAGCTTATAAGGGGCAAACGATGTGGTAACGCTGGTGGTACTTTACTTTTGCTCTATCATGACCACAAGAGCAGGAGCAGGATACCTTATATGTAACAAACGATGGTGTTGAATGTTGGTCTGTTGTTGTGGAAGCTTTCTGTGTTGCTGTATGTCCCTATCCTTAGCTGAACCAATATCCGCAGTATGAGTCAATGTATGACTGCAATCCTTGATTGCCAATCATAATGGCCACATGCCTACATAGTGCTTGTATTGTTCAACCTACATGCAATCTACTGTGCAGATAGCACTCATTCCCGCCACTCGAACAAGTCTGAGAGCTTAACGCTGAGTAGAACATCAGGAAATCAGGAAAAGAACAAAACACGAGCCATGACATCATGTGTGGTAGCCCTATTGGTCCTTGAGGTACCCTATCGCCACAGTCGGCGGTGTGTCGGATGCTTCAGTTTCTGTGCGGGCCAAAATCCGACGAACTATGAAAAAAATAATCATGGGCTAGATGACGCCGTTGGTTTTCTATTTAGGTTTTGCGGACTCAAGCCGATGAAATACCGAGTAGCGCCGCCGGATAGTGTGACCCGATAACCTCAAAAACCATTCATGTAACTACCATGAATGTACTAGTAGAAGGCTCTTGAGAAGTTAGGAAGCTGTCGGATAAGGGCAAAAGCGGATGAACCACTTAAGCTTGTGATGACAGAAGTGGCGAATTCATGTGCTGCCTACCGGTCCTTTGGTAGGCCTGCCGGTAGCTAATATTGGTCCACACTACTAAGGTTGACATGCACGAGGCAAACAAACATGGCATTCAACTACAATGTGGTATTCATCTGATAATAGGTGAGCTCCGGTTTCTTTTTGTCTGAAATATTGGATATCCTCTGTAAACTTTTGCTTTGAACAAACGTGATTGGTGGGTTATGTAAATAAGTGGCAACCTGGGTTACAATACTGCGAGTATGCAGTGGTGACAGTGCTTTGAATCATTGATTATTTAGCGGTTAGAGCTTGATGAATAATAGAGTAACTAACTAACTAGTTAGTTACAGTGCTAGATTAGTTCATAGAATGGCATAGTTAGCTTGTACAGAGTAAAGGGGTGAAATAAAGAGCATAATAATTCTCCCTGAGGAACTGTCTAGAACAAATATGGAAGGATGGTACTTCGTCCATCGGACCATGCAACAAATAGTGACGAGAAAAAAATTTGATTACGTTGTCTTGTATGAATCACAAGTAAGGGTGGTTCGTTCAAACCTTGGCTAAAAAGAAAAGGAAAAGTAGTAATGTTGTGAGATTTTTAGAACAATGAATCTATGGGTCAAAGAATGATTCGCTGGGTGACTATTAGCTCGTGAAAATTTTACTTCCCTTATAAAATTTTTTTTTTTTTCTTTTTCTTTTTCTTTTCCCTTTTTTCTTTTTTTTTATCTTCTCCAAGTTCCCCTTTTGTTTCCTTATTGCCACTCATCTCCGAGGTTTTCGCGGGGGATAAGGATAAGGAATGGGAAAATCCGGAGATTTGAACTTAAGCGTGAAGGATGGGACAAAAAAAAAAAAGTCAAAATGATGGTCGATAAGGGATAACGACGATAAGGGCTTTTTGACTTTAATATTTCTCCGTCTGGGAGTTCGACAGATCATCAACGCTGCATAGCCTTGCATACGCTCTTCCCCCGCGTACATATCACAGGCATTAACGCAGGATATAACCTGCCAGGATGAAAGCACGCATTCGGCGGTGAGGTTTAAGTCTTATTCAATCTGGCGGTGATGCGTCGTCTTACTTGGCTGCGACTTGTAAGCCATCGTTTCAGCCGTTGGGTTGCGACGAGTAAGCGGTCGACTTGTCAACCCCCGAATATATCCCTGGATGCTTTGTTTCTCTTTTTGTCAAAGACGTATCATCCAAGCTCCGTGTCGTAAAACAATCCATCTCTGAATTACTCCTGATAGCCTCCATTTCAGTTGGTCAATCCTTGTAGATCTCAATTCGACAGGGGAAAAAAATATTAAAAAAATAAATAATCCGTTGGAAGATATTGCTGCTTGTGCTTATGGATCATGAATTGGACAGTTGTTCAGCCCATTATCTAGTCGCTTACGGCGGCCTGGAAGACATTTAAGTGCTGTAATGTACTGGTAGTAGTATGTATGTCAACGTAGCAAACGCTGAGTTGGGACAGTTCAGTATCAGCTCAGCCATCCAAAATTCGCAGCAGGTTTGAGATGACGGAAGAGTGCGGCGAAGGCTCTCAATAGTCCATGGCTCTGGTCAACTCTAAACGTCTTGTGTTTCTTCGTATTTAGTTTTCTCTCTCTCCTTTTTTTTTATCTTTTTTTATTTTTATTTTTATTTTTACTTTTTTTTTTCTTTTGCCCACCCAAAGAAGCCTTCGAATGTCTAGAAACTCGGCTGCGCCACCTAAAGTCTGGGGGAGCGATCTGAGGGTGGCGACAGAAATAGCACCAGCATCTGCAGGCCCAACACACTCATTCACACGGGAACGGAGTCAACGGACACTAACCGCAGTGGATTAGCCAGTGTTGCATCCCCGGATTCATGCCCTGTCAGGGACTGGAATACATTAGCCTAGCCCGCTAAGGATAATCAAGGGATGCGCGTTATCCTACCGCCTGTAGGGTTATAGTTGGAGGATGGATGCCGTCGCCGTAATTCCGTAACCGCCCGTGAATCCAAGTACATACTGAGCAAGAAAAATTCTTAGAACTCGCTACAGAAACCCTTGTCAAGGAGTTGGCAGCCTTGCAATCAGAGAAAGCGAACCTGGTTCCCCGTTTGTTCCTTACCCGTTGATAGATGTAGTTGCAATAGGGCCAACTGGCAAGAATAACGGCTTCCTCACAACTACTAGAATATTTTTAGTCGCCTCAGGCCGAAGATTATCTATCAAATCAGCGACGCCTATCATTGCCTTTCCCTTAGGCAACCCCCGAGGGCTTATTCGGGGTCTAATTCATAATCGAGTCAAACTTGAAATTAAACCCTAGGGTTCTTTTGTGGCATCCTCGGATTGTCCATCCAAATCGGCGAGACCAAAAAACCAGAAAACTCTTTGGTCGGGCGAGACGGCGGCTTTGCCTATCCCACCAGCGGACCAATCATCAGCCACTGATTGATCCCAACGCAGCCACGGGCCCTATCGGCTTGGTTGCTTCGACAGCCATCGGCACTAACCCGGTTCCGGGTCTAGCGCGGGACATGGGAGAAAAGAAAAAAAATTTTTGCAATGGGTTGCCTCTCCTGGAGGGTTGGGCGGCGAAAAAGTAGTCCACAAACCGATAAATATCATCCATCCCCATCCACTTTTTTCCCCTCCTCCTCTCTCCTCTCACCATATCCCCTCCTATCT